ACTCGATTTGCAACCTGTAGACAAGCTTGAGCATTATTTCTATTATCCGGCTGAGTTGTAGCCCAGTTTTGATAGTCGAATGGTGTTCCGTCCGACCATCCATAAGTAATTGGATTGACTCCGGTCTGGAAATGGTAGAATTACAAGTTATCAGGGATTTTAAAACTAAAACCAACTTCTCTACTGTATTTTAATTTTGAAAAATTGTTTCTCATTTTGTGTGTCTGTTACCACGATTTCGCTTCACCTATTGCGTTTTGCAGAGGGGAAGGCTTCAAACTAGGGTTAATCGGAGGTGGGGAAGGCGAGGAGTGGTTAAATTTTAAATTTTTACGTTTTTGAAATCAAATATGTAAATTTGCGATAAGGAACCAACCCAAGTTTTGATAAGAATGAGGAAAAGGAAGAGTTTTGTATGTGTTACGTCCGAATGTGAATTTTTATTAAACAAACTTTTTCCACATGTAGCTTCACTTTAAGAATCTACATGTCTTGCTCTACAAAATAAGCTTGATACTATTATACGTTATTTTTGGTTCGCATTTGAGTCACTAAAAATAGCTTTCAAAATGTTATGCTGAACTAAATGCCATAGTGTTTGCTTATAGAGAATTTTTTCTGGATCAAGTGATACCAAATTTGTAATTCTGTATATTAATTCTGCAATTAGTTATGCAATACTGCAAATTGCAGTTTGGGTTTGGACGCTAGTTGGGTTTGGACGCTAGTTGGGTTTGGACGCTAGTTGGGTTTGGACGCTAGTTGGGTTTGGACGCTAGTTCGGCTTTGGACGCTAGTTCGGCTTTGGACGCTAGTTCGGCTTTGGACGCTAGTTCGGCTTTGGACGCTAGTTCGGCTTTGGACGCTAGTTCAGCTTTGGACTCTAGTTCGGCTTTGGACGCTAGTTGGGTTTGGACGCTTGTTCGGCTTTGGACGCTAGTTGGGTCTGGACGCTAGTTCGGCTTTGGACGCTAGTTCGTTTTTTTAACTTATGCAAATTTCGAAATGATAATTTACAAGTTTAATGCAAAGTTTAGCCCCATATGATATGATATAATTGATTTAATATCACTCATATGATATAACTTATATCATCAGAATGACTGACCCTGATTCCTCCTGTGAGCGTTTGATAGTTAGTCTGCACTTGACCAATGCTTGACAGCTCTAAAAGGATTGTTTTGTCAGCTTATTGCAACGAAAGACCAAGAGACAAACTTCTTTTCGGAGTTTTCTTTTTGAAAATCACATCGAAGCTTTTCTACCAACCGCTAACAATTCGATTCTCCTCAGCCGAGTGAATTGATGCCAATTGACCACTTGACGATTTGCACAAAGCATCGCCTTGTTGTTGTGTGATTCCGCCCGTTTCAGTGATTACCTGAAAGTGCAAGATCGTATAAAGTTGTGCTAACCTCCTGACTAAGGCTTTTCTAGAATGTGCTTTCGGAAAAGCTACGGTATTCTGTCGCTTTCAAAGTCTAAACCCGTCTTTTGCTGGCGTTTAACAGCCTGGCTATTGGATATTTAAAAATGAGCCTTGATCAGTTAAACCTAGACGATCTAAGAACTGGGTGATGGTCGGCTTTTCGGAAAGCATATTTTTGAAAAGCTATATAGTTTAGCTGGATTACGGTAGCTGATATCATTGTCTAGCAAAGCCTTAATTAGTTTCACTGACTATGATTCAATTTCGGTACCTTATAACAGTTATTAAGCGACTGGGCATAGTACCATCCAGCTGGGCAAGGTGAGTTGAACTCTTGAGTCGATGGATTGAGGAATGGTTGAGGTGTTGATGGATTTCCTTGTGGTTGTTGAGAAGCAATCGGTTCAAATGAGAGAGGCTCTTGAGTGAATGGATCAGAGGAAATCGGCCCATTAGTTGATTCTTTTGAATGAGAATGCGAATCAGAATTCTCGCTTGATCTTGATTCTTTGGATTTCTCTTTAGAGCCAGAACGAGAAGCTTTACATTCTAATAAAACAATGCATAAGGAAAAGATCACTAGCGGTTTGATCATCTTTCAGTATTAGAACTGTACTTTTCCAAATCACAAATCGCCCCTTTTATCTCAAAGTTCGTCCAGCTATGCAAACATGACCTTTCTAAAAAAATTTAAGTTTGAAAATTGACATTTGAAACGTTATTTGACCGAAATCACAAATAATCTAGCTCGAAAAGAGATTTTTTCATTTTCGATGAATCAAAAAGCCTGATATTTCAAGAAGCAAAGGTCAGTCTCGCATTTTTTTCCACTGCTAGCTAGATAAAGCTATAGAAAGATAAAGCTAACAGAGGCTCATTAGACAAAGCTAACATCGGTACTTGTCGGTTATACATCCACAAAGACTCATCTCGGTTAAGCATCCCCATGCGAGTCTTCTCGGCTATCGATTTTCGTTCGACTGATCGACTCATCACTTTGGGCGAGCACTCTACTTCACTGAACATCATCACGCCTCACACCTTGTCAGCTCCTTGCTTAACCTAGTTGAGTCTCTGTGGATGTATAACCGAAAGTACCCTAACATCTATAGAAAGATAAAGCTAACAGAGCTAGCAGTGGCTAATAGTCTTACCCTTATGAAATAAGGATAAGACTGAATGTTCATAAGAGCTACAGGAAAATTTAGAGCGTAATAGCAGTAGTATTAAGGTTGTCAAGATTAAGGCAATTAGATCTTCGGATCTTCTAATTGCCGTAATCCTGGCAAAGAAATGCTATTCCGCTAATGCTGATAATGATGCTATTCCGCTATTCGACTCCGTTACGAAGTGCTCAGTGCTATCCATTCTTTTCTCAGATATTAGCAAATCATTGTGAGTGAAAAGATTATTTTAAGAACAATAAACTGAATTCCCAATTTTCGTTTTTCCTTGGCCAAACCACATTGCCTTACTGTGGTGCTGTGTTTCGTATTTCGGTACCTGACTGTATTTCAGAAGAGGAAGATGGCGTTGTGATTCAGAGAAATATTTGAAGATGAGATACAATCATTTTAAACATACTGAATTGTTGAAGAATTGCATGTTTCTTAACAATAGCATAAACTGCATGCATAAACTTCAGGGCTCATATATCGATACATTCCAACACCAGAAACTAATGATGTTGAAGCTTCCATATCTCGTACAAGACCGAAATCTGCCAACTTCAAGACGAAGTTCTGCTTGACCAAAACACTAAAAATTTCATTTGCTTGATAGTTCATTTAACAAACTTTTCTGGTTTAGCATCGCAATGTAAAATGGCGGCCCGTTGAAGACAAAGAAGCGCATCGAATAGCTCTACGCTCCAACAAGAATTGCATGGTTCTCAACAACAACATTCGACAATAATGATTGAGAACCATTGTTGAGAACAATGGTTTTCAATAATAGCTTGACATAGCACTCATTTTGTTGGTACTTCTTCAAAAATGCGCTTGAATTCAATTGAATTCAATGCGAAAAGTGGAAAAATTTGATTAATTTCATAATACGTTAGCCTTCAGCATTTCACTTTTCTAAATCATTCGGTTCGATCAATTTTTTCACCTAAATCATGCTCGCCAACCGTGTTTTTGTAGTTTGTTTGAGCACGAGACTGATACCAACAAAAATAGACTTGGAAATTGATAACTTTGAGAAATCTCTTTCTTTTATTGTCTTGTTCTACAGTTAACTGGAGCTTTAAAGAGTGGAAATTACATTTCGAAATTTCAGCTACTATTTCTGTCTACTATCTGTACTAATATTTATTTTGCTCATCTATGGAGCCAACTTATCATGAGAAATTCCCCTTATCTTCCTTACCAGCTGAACTCAGAAGTTTGAGTTTACGCAAACTCGATTCAAATTCGATTTTGAAACTTATAAAAGTCAATCATTTACTTAGAAAATCTACTTTTTCCACCAGCCTCTTTGGCAAAAAAATCAACCAAATCAGAATCACTTTCAAATATGAATCAAATAAAATCCAGCCTTGTAACTTTAAATTCGAAATTCATGAGACAAACTTCAAGTTTCAGCAAGTCATTGAAAACTGGCCATCTCAAGGATTTTTTCAGAAATCAACAACTTGCCGAGAACTTTACTTAATGATTGAACCAGCAGTTAAAAAAGAGAACCGAAATGATTTGAGACTTTTCAAATCACTTCAGAAATCTTTCCAGAACCTAAAATTTGTCTTCAACATTGAGATCTTCTCTGAACTGAACATTTACAAGAGATTTCTTGACAATTCATTGTTTCAAGTTATCAAAAAGACTTCAGTGAAGGTATCGGATGAAAATGAGCTCAGTTTTCAATTAATGGAGAAAAGCTTCAAGAATTGCCAAGAAGTACAAGTTTTGACGAATAAGAAACCGGAATTGAGCCGATTTTCGAGTATAAAGACAAAGAAGTTGACGTTTAGCCATTGGAATTTACAAATCATTGAGCTATTGGATGAGATTTTGCAGAGAGGACTGCCTGGAAAAGATCCAAATTTTGTACTTTGTCTCGAATCACAACAAAGACTTGGAAATCAGTATCAACTGATATGTGACTTTCTTGCGGACAAAGCTGAGATTTCACAAATCGATCAAGATCGAGAAATTTTTCCTCTAAATGGACCAGATCTTATCAACCAACAACAAAGCTATCGACGAGGATTCAGCAAAGAATTCAATCTATTTTTACTTGTTGTTTGGAGTGAAACAAGGTGTCGTCAGGCTCACTATGTACAACTGAGCTTGAGAAAGAAAGTGAAGGTTTATGTGAAGTATTCGAAGAGAAAACGATGGGAAGACTTTGATGATCAGAGTAACAATGAAAATTGACCAAAAGATTGAGATATTCTTGTTCAGATTGTTTCTCTCACTTTCTTTTGTTGATAAAAAATTACAGGCAGGAATTGAGCTCAAACAACATTGTCTTTAGTTTAATACGTACAAATCTACGGCAAAAAAGTTCCCAAAAATTTGGGCATAGTGACGCTCAACAAATTTGTTGAAAAATCAAGACTTTGTCCAAAATGAAACTCATCTTTTTGTGTCTTGTCTTGTTTTCATTCGTTTCCTCGTCAAATCCTCTCTTTGAGCCAATATTTTCAAATCCTCAACGCTGTAATAGAGCGGCTTTCTCCGGGTCAATTTTCTTCTCGAAATAAGCCTGAATAGGCTGATTAAACATTTTTGTGTTAAATATTCGTCAGAGCTCTTAACGGTACCCAAATTCAGTGCATTCACAACACTCATCGCAAATCAGAGTCGTCCGTCCGATGATTTGCTTGCAGCGCATGCATATTTCTGTGATGGGAAAAGAATTGCGCAACTCAACAAGGGTTTGCCACAATTTTCAAAACGACTTTACTTTGACATTTGTTAAAAACTGCCTTTTTTAGCTTACCTGTTGGTTTTCAGACTTGCGTAACGGCGAACTAGCGAAATGGCGTAACGTAACGGCGAAATGGCGTAACGTAGCAGCGAACTGGTGTTCCACATGTTGAATGTAGAAATAAAGTGTTTAGAAAGTTTGAAGATCTTTTGTAGTTCATTGAAGCAAAATGGCTTGAAACTGAAAGTGAAGAATGAGGTGAATTGAAAGCAAATTAATTAGATCAGCATGAAATACCTTATTCAATCTTATTCAAATTCACATTTTTGTTCCCTCATTACGGAAGTGTGCGCCGATCTCGCCAGTAAGTGTAATAGCGGGCCGACGCTGTGCGGCGAGAAGCAAGCTCCTACAAACCGTAGCTGTTCTAAAAATTGATTAATCTCGATGAGTTCAATGGAACTCGAACCCGAGACTAAGCCGATAAGAACGGAATAATTTATTTAGATGGCCTGAGTCAGAGCTTAAGGGAGATCGCGCCCGTACAATTGAGTTTACAAATAAATCCTTGGGATACAACACCAACAATAGAAGGGATATATGAGACCACAATTTAAGGTTAAGTGTCATAGCACATACCGATAGCACCATACTCGTTGCGGAAGTCACCATCAATCGATTCGTTCATGTACTCCATCATTTCTCGTTCATTTCTGAGTTGTCGTTAGAGTCGCTTGGTCACCGTCTTCAGCAGGGATCTTTGGACCACTTCAGAAATGTCGGAGTCGAGAAGTCAAAGACCATGGATCAATTGAGAGACGTCGCTCAGGGTGTTCATCAGCAGAGGGTTGAGCTCGCCCATGTGATGGCTGAGGTAGTGAACTCCGTTGCTGGCTCGTTCGCGCGGGTTCATCCATTTCTTGGCGGTCTTCTTCAGCTGCTTGTCTAATTGAAGAGCGTCTTTTAAGCTAGAGGCCAGAAGCGATAGGAAATGAGAGAAATGGAGGGGTATCTAGCGGGGAAGTGTGCCAGATGCCGGGCGATTGTGCACGCGCACAAGGAACACCATTTATTTGGCTGGAATAGACTAATTATTAAAGTTGAATGGTACAAAAAGATCAAATATTTATCGAATATTTGGACTTGATAAAATTTGGTAAGGTAAATCTATTCTAAAAAGTTTTAGGTCCAAGTTGAACGTTATAAGCAGATTTCTCACGCACAATTGCGCCCTTTCTACCGTACTCCTTCGATCCGCTTACGGCACAAAACGGACTATCGCTTTTCGATCTGTCAAAAAAAAAGGTGATCGTTGAAGTTTTGCTTTTGTAAATCAGCCATTTTATTTACTTTTAAGATGTCTAAAGGTTTTATCAAATTTGATTTTTCTCAACTGCCTACTGAATTAAAGAATTCTTCGCTCCAAAAGCTGTCCAATTATTCTTTGTTCAACTTGCTCAAAGTGAATAAATTATTCCGCAATTATGTCTTGAAAAACGGGCTTTTTGCTAAACCAAATTTTAAGCTAATTCTCACATTCAAACTCGGACGCAATCGAGAAATTCTGGCGAATGAAATGGACTTGATCGTTCTCGAAGACGATCAACGCCTCACTTACAAATTTGAGCAAATCCCATCTGCCGGTTTCTTCCAAAAGCTCACTTCCTGCCGCAGCATCTTCCTTCAAGCCTACCGAGGCCCAATCATGGAAAACACGCAAAGTTCGTCTCATGAAGAGACTCAAAAACTAGCTTTATGCTTTCAAAATCTCAAATCAGTTCTCAATTTCTACGAGGCACCATTTGGATTGAAGGCTTTTCAGAATTTTCTTGAAAATACTGCATTCAACGTGTTCAAATATGCAAATTTCCATTATCCAAATCATATCGATTATGCAAGAACCTTTGTTGAGACAAGATTACACAATTGTTCAAGCATTGAGATTTCCGAGAGAGATGGAAATTTGTTCAACTTCGATTTTGAAAAGCTGGAAAATCTCACAAAAATCATCTTTTCCGGAGATTTTTGGTCGTTTACGAATCGCTTTGATAAGCTTTTGAAGAATAAGGCTTCTATGGGCAATTCGAGATCCACGACGATGCTTCAAGCAATTCTTCACCCATCTCAAAGAAATTGCTTTGAGGTGAATTGTGGAATGATTGAACTAGCTTGCCGAGTGAAAAGAGACGCAGAAAGGGATTCGGATGAATCGGAATCAGATTCGGATGAGGAAGAAGTTCAGGAAAACTTTTCTAGCCTTGCGCTTCAATTCAACGATGATTTTTGTCAGGAAACGATTTTGCAAGAGGCCAGCTATCGCCTCAAAATCTCATCCACAAAGCATTGCCTTCTCTACGTCGTTCTCATCCAGAAACAAGATGTCGGAATCAAGATTAAAGTTTATGCGAAATTTGAAGTAATTAGCCCTTCTTGAGAAGTTGAAATTTTAAACTTTGAATTGAACTTCTTTTAGTACAAAAACCTTTTTCAATGTTGCTTTTGAGGACTTCATGTACTATTGCTATTTTTGACAAATTCCCATCACTTATATTTCTTTGGAACTGTTCCAACTGTCAGATTTTACAGATTTTCAACTGTTTTACTTACAATTAGGTTTGTAACCTGGAAATAAAAAATTACTCGCGTTTGAAACGTTTAAAAGGAGAAAAATGCTCAAGACAACCCACACAAGATGTTACCTACTAGATAAGGCATAAAAAATTCAAAAATCTTGTCATTAAGCTTAAAAAGATTGTTCTACTGATATACACCCCAAAAAACGAAGTAACCAATCCTGTTCAACACCCCAAAATTTGAATACAATCATATCACAAAAGAAATAAGACAGTCGGCTTTCCAAAAATTAAAGCTAGATAAAAGTCCATGAGAAGGCAATTCGATCCAAGATTTAATCGAAAACGGGTGCTTTTTTTTTGCTCTTTTTCATTTTAGTTACTAATAATTCAAATTTTGAGGTATATAACAGGAAAGTCTCAAAATAACTCGTTTTTTGAGAATCCTGCTATTTTTTTCATGTTTGAAAGTGTTTATTCGTTGAGGTTAATATTGGGTTGTCCAGTTATGAATGCGCGTTTTTACTATTTTGTAAATTTCTCAAGATATCGAACAGATGTATATGAGTGTTATATATCATTCGAAAGCTGAAGATCTCCTCTACATTTTGGAATCAAAAAGTTTTTGAATTCATTCAACTTTTTGGGAAATTGACTGCACAAAGGGAGAGGTCGTTTTCGAAAAAACCCATTTCAGCTTAGCTATTCCTCAAGTTTTATGGTGTAAAATAACCGCCCAGAAAAGAAAAGTAAAGATGCTCTGAAATTGTTATATTTCAAAAAAAAGTTGCATTGATATATCTATTGGCCAAACATCAAACAGTTAACTCAATTTGAGCGGAGCCAAAACTTGATCCAAAGGCACCCTTCCATTTTTTGACCACCTCTTCTTCTGTGCAGTCAATTTGCCCAAAAGCTGGACAAATTCAAAAGCTTTTTATATCAAAATGTAGAGGAGATCTTGAGCTTTCGAATAATACTCATATATATCTTTTTCTTGATTTCGGTATCTTGAGAAATTTACAAAATAGTAAAAAACGCGCATTCATAACTGGACAACCCAATAAAAATCCTAACATTAAAAAACTCTCTCCATCTCCAACCTCCATTAAAGATTTGCGGCCAGAAGGTATGCCCTCATAAGGATTCTTTCAAGAAACCCAAGCTTGACTACATGACTAGATGACTAGAACCCAAGCATGACTAAATTACATTTGACATTCTTCGCCATTTTTCCGGAAAATCATTTCTGTTGTGTCTGGAACTGGAAAATTTTGAAACTCTAATAAAAAGTGATGGCAAAAATGATTTGTTTGTGTAACCAAGTGTTTTTTTTGTAACCAAATCATCAATTTAGCTAATTGATGTTTAGCTAATTGATTTAGCTAACCAAGTGTTTTTTGTAACCAAATCATCAATTTAGCTAATTTTTATTGATAATTACATCAAATCCACTTTTATTATGAAAAATCCTCGATGATCCAGTCCAACGTTTCAATAATGTGTTGATGACAGGGCTTTGGTTGAGAGATTTCTTTTGGGAACTCGAAACCAACCTGGAAAACTGGGATGTCCGAAGAAAAAAGGATTCAAACTTAAATCTTTATACTTACACTTTTTTGATAAAATATAAATCATACAATATATGCAATGGTTTATAAATAATTTGCGTTTTCGTACTCACAATGATCTTCGTGAATTCCGCCAACGAAACGAACTTTTGCCTCTTTCCTCCACAGAAATGAGCTCTCGAGAAGATTTCACAAAGCAGCAAATCTTCATCGGCGCTGAACAAGGCCCATAACTTCAAGAACAAGGCGTTGAACAAGGCCCATAACTACTATCTTGTAGTAAAGTTGAAAATCTGATTATGATCTACTTCAAACGATCAAGGTTTCTTTTGAAATATCACAAGTTGAAGTAAAAAATAGTTCGGGCTGTTTTAAAAAGCTAAAAAGATCAGTTCAGGCTACATTTTAATAAAGATTTTAAGGAAGCAAGAAAAAGTAGATTTTCGGAGGATGAATTGAATCCTCACTTTCCGGGCAATTGCTCTAATCACTAAGCTACCTTAGTGGCTTGATAACTTGTGATGTGCTTGCCCGACACAACAAATGAGTCAGGTATACACGATGGAGAAAGCCGTTCTCTCTAATCACTAAGCTACCTCGGTACCTTAACTTCCTAAGAGAAAGAAGGAAAGAAGAAAGAAAGGGAAGGAAATAAGGTTGAAGATCTTGTTATAGACATAAATATAGACTTGACCTGGTTTTGCCTCAAAATTTTGCTTTAGGAACAGTTCTGGTTGGGAAAAGTACCAAAAAGCAAAGTAAAACTATAAATTTTCTAACCGACAATCTTCACTTGACATCATGCTTTGCTCTTGGCAAATCTCTTGTACTTTTGCATCAATTTTGGCAGTTGAACACCTTCGGACAAGTGGAGTGACTGGAAATAACGAATAATATTGATTGTTAGATTCTAACAGTCTAATTCTTAGATTCTAACAGTGTTGAGAAAACTAACAAGCATTCAGTTCATTCTTCACGTTCGCAGAACAATAGTAATCTCTCAACTTCAAAAACTTCTGAATGAAATGTTTCATTTCTTCTGGAGAACGGGTTTCATTTAATGAAATCTCAGCATTATCAAATTTTCTGAAAAGAAGTTATTTATAAATTTATAATTTTCTTTAGCCATACTTGCATAAAGCATCACCAAACATTTTGCCTTTATCGTGATCCCAAGATTTTGGCTGAAAAGTTACATCAATTTCTTGGTTCTCAGTTGAGCTATTGTCACAATTGAGCTATGGTGGTGCGTATCAAATGTAACAAGTCTTGAACAAACAACTTTATCTCAAAAGAGAATTTCGTTTCCTGATAGTTCCTTTTTGGTTCCTTTATAGTTCCTTTATAATTTCTATTTAGTTCCTTTATAGTTCCTATTTAGTTCCTTTATAGTTCGTTTACAGTTCGTTTGTAGTTCCTTTATATTAGGTTGGCAACTTAATAATGACGCGTCACTACTTAACATGTTTTTTGTAATTTCAAGCACCGTTTCTTCCCTCTTTTTGCATATATACAAAGTAAAAGATGTCTGCATAAATAGCATTTAGTGCTACAAATTTCACCATTCGCTTTTTGGCAAAAAATGGAGGACAAAAAAATTCCGTATTCGAGCTGTATTGTTCTACGATTTTAAACAAGGAAAATCTCCAGCTGAATCTTATCACACGATCATCACTGTTTTGGAGAGGAAAGTATACACATTCGGCAATGTCAACGATGGTTTCAAAGATTCCAAGGCGGCGATGGAAGCCTCGTAGACGAGCCACACCAAGGACATCCTCCAGAAGTGGTCGACGATGACTTGCTCGCCTTAATTGAAGATTGCCCAACACTCACCGTTCGTGAGTTGGCTGAAATATTTTAAGTATCCCATACGACAATCGAAAACTATTTACACACTTGGGAAAAAGAATCGTGTTGGAAAATGAGTTCCTCACGAATTGACCCAAAGCAACAAAATGGCCCGTGTCAATGTCGCCTCAATTTTGCTACAAAAATGTAAATCGAACGACTTTTTCACTTCTGACGAAACGTGGATCAACTACGAGAACGTTAAACGCAAAAATCAATGGCTATCTGCTGGGCAGACCCCTCAAACCACTCCCAAACCTGATATCCATGGGAAGAAGATAATGCTCTGTTGCTGGTGGAACTTCAAGGGATTGGTGCATTATGAAGTGCTAAACCTGGCCAAATCGTCGATGCTGATCTTTATTCGAAGCAATTAATGAGAGTTAACGAGTCTTTGAAGAAATTGGGGCTCAAACCGGAGAGAGTCAGATTTTTACGCGAGAACCCAAAATCTCACACTGCAAAGATCACTTATAAGAAAATCGTGGAACTTGGCTGGAAAGTTTTGCCCCACGCGTCTTATTCACCTGATCTGGCTCCTTCAGATTACTTTTTGTTTCGGTCGCTGAAGCACTTTTTGAAGGGAGAAAAGTTCGATGATCATGCTCGGATCATAAAAGCAGTGAATGACTACTTCACCTCAAAAACTCCCAAGTTCTTCGAGGATGAGATCCGGGATTTGCGCAGAAGATGGGAAGAAGTCATAGATACTAATGGAGAATACCTTTTGAATTGAAGGCTCTTCTTTTGTGTTTTTTTAAAATAAATGATTTGTTACATAAACGCGTCATTATTAAGTTGCCAACCTAATAGTTCCTTTATAGTTCCTTTATAGATTAATTAGTAGATTATAGATTAATCAGTAGATTATAGATTAATTAGTAGATTAATCAACCCAACTTTCCCAGAGAAACAGAAAAAGAAAAAGAAGAGAGAAATTACAGGAAATGTCGTCTTTTATCCCCAAAACATCCAACCAGTTTTTCCGGTGCCTAATCTAAAGCCTTATTTTTCAATGAAATAGTGGGAGAATAGAGAAGAAAAGACGGAAAAGATCTGTTTACTGTTTAAGGCAATTGTCAAGATAATTAGCATAGAAGAATCAAAGGGAGATTATCAGATTACCTGCTGTAAATGAAGCCAGTCAAGGTCCGGCCAAGGCCAATTCTCGGCTACTTTTGCTGAAAGCCTTGCTTTAAAGCTTAAAAGTTGATAGAATTACCATAAGTTTCGATAGAAAAGATTAATAAGGTAAAAAAGGTTCGAGAAGACATAGCAACGATTGAATTGAAGGCAAAAATCGTTTGTTTTCACTGTTTTGTCTATAAATGGTGACTCAAAAAGAACAATCATGAAAAAGTGTTTGCTCTTTTTAAAGTTTAAGTTGTTTTTAACTTAAGTTCTTGTAAAATCAAGTTGAGAAAAGACTTTGAATAAATTTTTATCTTCAAATTGAATTTGAGATTGGATTTTTTGAGAGTACAAAGTTCCTTTATGATTTTTTTTCTTTAAAATATCTCACAAACGATTCTTATTAGGTACATGCATAAGAAATGCGGCGAAAAGTTGTAAATCGCCTCTACAAAGAAGATGGAATGATAAATGATATCATAGTGACTAATTGGTAGCCATTTTCAAGGATTCCCGTGAGATGCTCTAGTTTGAAATATTGAAAAATAGCACCGATTCTAGCAAAGCTAGAGCTGCAAATGTCTTTGCAGATTAAAAAACCCGACACAGTATTAGGGACTTGCAAAAGAAACTGCGGATTATAATCAACATTTGAACAGCCCAAAAATCAATAAGAAAACAACTTTATTCCAAAAGATATTTGTCATTATTATCAACTATGTTCTTACATTTTTTGCGTAGACTTCGGATGTCTGATTCGTAAAATTCGGGGCCCCGCGACGCAAAGTAGTCTTGCACCCAAATTTCGACTTCTTCAAGATTGTTAAACTTTAGATTTGCAAGAGAGTGTTGCATAGACAGGAACAAGTGGTAATCTGAGGGAGCAACATCAGGCGAATAGGGTGGATGAGGCACAAGTTTCCGGCCTAATTCTTCTATGGTGTTTTGAGCCAAGTTTGATGTGTGTACCCGGGCATTGTGAGCGAGTAAATGGATTGTCCTTGGATTAACACCTCTTTCTCGTAGAATTTCATCAACTTTCTTCAGCTGTTCGGCGTAGATTTGAGAAGTTATAGTTTTTGACGATTTTCGTAATTCAAAATAAACAATTCCTTTCATATTCCAAAAGACCGACAGCATAACTTTCTTTCCGTCAAGTTCTGGATGTGATGTCGGAATCGGCCTTTCTCCTTTGCTCAACTATTGTCTTTTGCAAGTACCTAATACCATACACAAAATATGCTGCAAAGAGTTTTCGCTTTAGATTTTTTGTACTTTATAAGAAATGAGTGTAAAAGCTGTTTATGCTAAGAAAGATAAAAAATAGACCTATTACTTTGCCCAGAATTATTTTAAAAAAATCGATTAGGCACTTTTCTATCTAATCGCAAGTTAGCCGTGCTTTAAAATATTAGGTACATGCATAAGAAATGCGGATTTCAACATTTTCATAAATTTCCAACGATAGAAAACTGACATCAATGATAGAAAACTGATTAGTTATAAACTATTTGAAAGTTGTAAATCTCCTCTACAAAATAGGCTAAAACGTGTTTCAATTGGTAGCTTAAGTGTTTCTAGAATTTAGAACTTGTACCATGTGTTCCAATTGCAAGAAGAATCATTGTGTGGAGGTTGAGATCCAAGAGATCAGTAGATTTTTGTTTGAGGAATACTCCCAATCGGAAAAGCTGCAGCTTTGCAAGCCGAAAGTCAGTGAACGCCATCTGAAAGCAATAGTGGAAGCCATAAAAGGCTTACTTACAAAGCGATTAAACGATTATATTTGATCTTAATCTTGCAGAGTTGATTTTAATAACCTTTTTCGTGTTCGTCTGAAGTTATTTTCGCTATTCATCTTTCTCGTTTCGAATTCAAAGATGCAGAAAAGATGAACAAAGCAAAGGTAGCTAGAATCATCTTTTAACTTCAACCTTTTCACGTCTAGATTGCATCCAAGCGGTTCTTCCAAGCCCTCTCTGAAAAACAAAAACAAAATGTGTTCAAAGTTTTTACAAGTTTTAGTTGAGCAGCCTCATTTTGTCACTGAAAAACTACCAATTTTCTGTTCCGAAATAATAACAAAAAGGTTCAGATAATTCTTCTGGCAAGAAAAAGGTTGTTTTGCTGGAGAAAATTCCAATGATTTAATGAAATTCCCAGGAAAAAAAGTGATAAAAAGCAAACCAAACGGAATTTTTCGTTTTTCGATTAGCAATTTTATTATTCTAAACGTACCAAACGCACATTCTTGGCCCTTTCTAAAACTTTTTACAAGAACTTTTCCAAAAATGCAAGCCTGTGGTTTAAAATAGTCACAAGTTGATGGACTTGTTACTATTTTCGACAAAGTTTCGTATGTAAATTTCCAAACAATAAATGCAAAGTGTTGTCGAGAAAAAAGCCACAAGAACCATAATTTCTATTGGTTGAGATTTCAGAAAAACAATTTCCTCTCTTTAAACTCTGTTCCCAATTAAGCAAAGATTTTCGCAGATCGATCAGCGATCTTTTTTTGCAGCTTCCAGCTATACAAACTGGAGAAGCTGGACCAAAAAAACAGCTTATACAGGGGTCAATGTTCTTCAAAGTAAAAAACGATAGAAATGATCTGTGGGGATGTTGAATGATCTGTGGGAATGTTGAAACAAGATGAAACGTGGCTCAAGAGAAGAAACTTACTAAATATTTGATTTCCTTGTTTTTTGGTTCATAAAATCTGATATAAAAGGCATCGAGAATCGGGGGAAATCATTCGATTTACCCCATCGGTCAATCGGACTCTCTTCCACCAAAATGAAGCACATTGTGGCCTTCTTTTATGTTGGCTTGGCTATCGTGTACGTTCTTTTTGACTTTTAACTAAACTTTAGATAAGCTATTCGTTCAATTTTTCACATTTTACTAAAGAACTAAAGAACTAAAGAATTTTTAAAGAAAGGGTAATGATCGATAGAATATTGTTTATTCAATAAGGAAGCTTAAAAAAGATTCTTTTAGCTTGGCTGCTAAGAAGAATGGAGAACCAATCAAAGTCATTCATCCATCAGACCAAGAACAACAACAAAACCCAGACGTGCCTCAACCATTAAATGGTGGATCGAAGGGTGGAAAAGGTAATAGTGGAAGAGAGTCCGATTGACCGATGGGGTAAATCGAATGATTTCCCCAATTCATTAAACTGTCGTTTTCTAAAAGCGAGTTTGAACAAAAACTACCGTAATTGAAGAGGTTTAAATGTAAACTTACCATTAAAAAATTTAAAGCTCGCTTGGATTTACTCATTTAAATCAAGTTGCTTTTTTTCTCCAACTGAATAACATGAAGATTTATGTTAAATTAGGGTGTTTTCTAGAAAGCGCATTAATCAGCGATTAATTAATTGACCGTCAGGAACACAGTATACATTAAAATTTGATTGTGAAAAGAGATAAAACCAAATAAATCCATCCCAATTAATTTAAGGGAAAAAGGACAACGATGGGATTCTCGACGATGATGAGTTTGATGCCTACAGTAACTTCGTGAGCAAGTAAGTCAACCTTTGACAATAAATAACATAGTCTTTTTAGACACAAAAAGGGCAAATCATGCGGAGCTAACGGTACAGCAGAGTGCAAGAAAAGAAAAGGAAATTTCGCGAAGAACTTCAAGAAGTTGAAGGAATACCAAAAGAAAGCCACGTAAGAAAGGAACAAATGAAGGTTATCTATAAAACTTTAGTTTCGAAGTTAACGTTAATCCAACAATGGACTGGTCGGATGAGGAATTGAAAGGGGTAATGGGAAATCGGAAGCGATATTTTTATCAATTTCTATTCAGAGACTGATGAGCAAAGAAGCAGCCGCCCAGTTTTGGTCAGGCAAGAAGAATCAAGGAGGACGAGTGATCGAGAAGAGCAGAAGAAAAAGAGTTTGTGGCGATACCGTAATGTCTGTAGTTGTAATTGAAACTCATTTGTTACTAATTCCCGAAGATTTTAAAAGGGGGAAAAGGGCATTAAAACAAAAAAAAAGTAAGAAAAAAGAAAATAATTTTTTATTTTTTTTTATTTCACTCTGGTAGAGTGTGTAAACCTCAAGTGAGGCGTTTCCTAAAAAATACTTATTTTAGAAACTACCGTAACGAAACAGCCCGTTTTCATTCTAGTAACAGAATTTTCGAATCTCGAGGTTCACTCAATACTGGGATTAGAGCTTTATTTGGGTCAAAACGGGCTGTCTGGTTAATGTAGTTTCCTGGAATAGATGTCCTTTTCCGAGTAACACAATTTTCGAATCTTTTTCGAATCAATACTGGCATTAAAGCTTTAATTGGGTCAAACTATTAAAAAGAGCTTAAAAGCTTAAAATCAAAGAGCTTTAACATGATTCCTTCAGTTACTTAAGTTACTTTCCGAAGTAACCTTACTGGCATTAGAGCTCTAATTCGATCAAAACGGGCTGTCTGGTTAATGTAGTTTTCTGAAATAGATGTCCTTTTAAGAAACACACTTTACTCTCAGGGATGGGCTACCATTAAAAGGATGGTTTTTAACTATAAGTATTACGGAAGGGAATAAACTATCAAAAATGAAAGAGCTTTAACATGATTCCCTGAACATGATTCCCTGAACATGATTCCCTGAACATGATTCCCTGAACATGATTCTTTTAACATGATTCTTTTAAGATGATTCCTTTAACATGATTCCCTTAACATGATTCCTTTAACATGATTCCTTTAACATGCTTCCTTTAACATGATTCCTTTAACATGATTCCCTTAACATGATACTTTCCGAAGTAACTTTGCTTGAAAAACAATTCGAAACATCATTTATTAATTCATTTTTCAGTCGATCCCTGCATCATTCGATTGGCGAACAACTGGTGCTGTGAATGACATAAAAAATCAACAGAGCTGTGGAGATTGCTGGGCATTTGCGTATGTCTCAAAGAGTTTATAAATAATATAGTTTTTGAGAAATTACCGTGCAAGGTTTTTCCGAGAACTTCCTTTCCAACCTAATAGAACTGATTATTCATTTTTAGATCGGTGGCTTCGATTGAGATTATCGACAATCTTGTGAATTGTCGCACCAGCAACACCACTCGTGTCACATACTCTGAACAAGTTACTCTTGAAATTCGTTCACAAAAATACTCTGTTGATTTAGCAAATCACCGATTGTACATATGCTAGTCAACAAAGGGACGGCTGCCAGGGTGGAGGAGGACCCGACGCTCTCAAGTAAATTGTACCCAACTCGATTATTGCCTTTTCTAGAAGGCTTAGGCTTAGGCCTTCTAGAAAAAAGCCTTTTCTAAAACTATCGTAATCACATCGACACGATTTTGATGGAATTACTGTAACCACACTATTCCTCGTCAACTCACACCAAAAGCTAGTTGTTTGGACCAAAGCTGATGATTTGGTTACGGTAGTTCTATAGAATGGGTGCATTTTTGAAAGAGCATTCATCGAGAGGAACACACTCTACTCTCCAGTAACAAAATCGATAAATTCTAAAAGCTTAACATCTATAATCTAGCTGTCACTTTTTACTATTAGATTTTGCTGTTTTTGCAACTATTGTCGACCCACAGGCAAGTTCAGAATCTATTGGGTTGTCCAGTTATGAATGCGCGTTTTTACTATTTTGTGAATTTCTCAAGATATCGAACAGATATATACGAGTGTTATATATCATTTGAACGCTGAAGATCTCCTCTACATTTTGGAATCAAAAAGCTTTTGAATTCGTTCAACTTTTTGGGACATTGACTGCACAAAGGGAGAGGTCGTTTTCGAAAAAGCCCATTTCAGCTTAGCTATTCCTCAAGTTTTATGGTGTAAAATAACCGCCCAGAGAAAAGAAAAGTAAAGATGCTCTGAAATTGTTATATTTCAAAAAAAGTTGCATTGATATATCTATTGGCCAAACATCAAACAGTTAACTCAATTTGAGCGGAGCCAAAACTTGATCCAAAGGCACCCTTCCATTTTTTGGCCACCTCTTCTTCTGTGCCATCAATTTGCCCAAAAGCTGGACAAATTCAAAAGCTTTTTGTATCAAAATGTAGAGGAGATCTTCAGCTTTCCAAAAATACTCAAATATATCTTTTTCTTGATTTCGGTAACTTGAGAAATTTACAAAATAGTAAAAAACGCGCATTCATAACTGGACAACCCAATAGTTTAATATGCCCTAACTAATCAGCCCAATTACAAGAGTGTATTTTCCTTGGTCTTTAAGTGCTTTTTCTCCGTTTAATGATTGATAAAGTTAGATTAAAATTTCCAGGTATGTAATCCAAAATGGAATCACCACTTCGGCCGCTGTTCCTTTCACGTCTGGTGCAAGCGGAAAAGGAGGTGCTTGCCCTAGCACTATCAATGTGAGTTTCAAGAAATTCAGATCTAGCAAAGTTCTGCTTGTCAAAAATTATCTTAAATCAATTTTGTTCAGCCAAAGAAAATGCCGATTCGTGACTGGATGGACCTGACGAATGATGTTCCCGGAATGATGAACTTCGTTGCCACCACGGCTCCGATCATTGTCGGTACGTTGAGGCCATGAATAAATTCACAAAAAAAGAATCTTTAGGCATGATGGTTTGCAACGATTTTCAACTTGTGTACAAAAGTGGAGTCTATGATGGATCGACGAATGACAATGTGAATTGTGGAGCACATGCACTCACTATTATTGGATATGGTTTGTGAAAATCACTAGAAATCACTAGAAATAACAAGCTAGGCGAATTCAATATAGTTAAAAGAAGTGTTTCTTATTTAGGCACTGACACCAGTGGAAAAGACTTCTGGTTGTTCCGAAACTCGTGGGGAACTAGCTGGGGAATGGGCGGATATGGACAAGTAAGCTGTGGATAGACTTGTCTGATTCATGAGACAAAAAAATGACTGTAGATTAACATCCTTTATGATTTGTTGAAGACTTACTGTGGATAGACTTGCCATAGAAGATTCATGAGACAAAAAATGACTGTAGATTAACATCCTTTATGATTTGTTGAAGACTTGCTGTGGATAGACTTGCCATGGAAGATTCATGAGACAAAAAATGACTGTAGATTAACATCCTTTATGATTTGTTGAAGACTTGCTGTGGATAGACTTGCCATAGAAGATTCATGAGACAAAAAATGACTGTAGATTAACAGTCTGTATGATGAATGACTCTCAAAAGATAAAACGAAAATCGTTGACGAAAAATGTGTTTAGATTTTGCGAGGAAAGAACACTCTGCAAGTTGAAACGATGGGTGTATCCGGGCCACTCCCGACGGTAGCCGCCAAGCAATGCACCACAAAAACTGCTAACAATCCATGTATTTTTTTTCAGAAAACCAATTCTTATGCCACATTTTGCACTTTGATTGCAAAATTTACATTTAAAACTTCATGGCCTGCATTTAATAGCATTTAAAATTCATAATTAATATTTTTATACAGTAAAAACCAGGTCTTTGGTATTTTTAGAAACGTTTCGTATGGTAAATTTCAAATCTTAAGCCTTGGATTGGACTCAAAGTGTGAAAAAAGTCACAAGCATCAGAAAATTCACTTCTAAACGTGAATTATTCAGATTCGGCGTGCACTTGCTCAGCCGTTTCAACTGCGACTCCAACAGCTCCATATGCTACCCAGTCAAAGCCCGGAGAAAGGTTTGAAAAACATCTTTGATCTTATCTTTGACAACTCAATTTTAGCGGATGCATTCCAAGCACATATGCGCCCACTTGTTCAGGGTTTGCTAACAATCAATACTTGACCATCACACTTTATGATGATGTGAGTGATTCTAATTAATATGTAAATTTATTGACGAAGTTCTAGACAGTTCTTAATTAGAATAACTCAAATCATCATACAGTTCTAGACAGGAAAGGTGATTGAAACGTACAATGGTTGTGCTCTGTGGGGATTCAAAAATGCCACCTGCGAGACATCGGCTGCCGCCGGAACAACCGTCAATTATCCACTTTACAAAGTGAGTTCACTCTCTGAACATTGATGCAATGATGAACAAAAACAAATGTTTTTTGAATAATTGTTTATCTTAGGGCTCTCGAGTTGCTTATCACGTCTGTAAAAGTGTCGACAATTATGTGTGCTCTCCACCAGTACCAGCCAATCCAGTAACAACAACGACCACAAAGCCTACCACTAGCGGTTAGTTGTTAGGGTGGGAATTGAAATTAAGCCGAACACTAATTTAAGTTTTAAGCCGAACCATGATTTAAGATTTGTCAGGGGATGTGATACAATAAAATGTAATGTTTTCAGCTCCAAAATGCACCTGCACAGCCGTTTCAACCTCAACTCCAACATCTCCCTATGCCACTCAACCAAAAGCTGGCGTAAGGTAAGCCGTAACGTAAAGGTTGAACAAAAAATGACAACTCGATTCTAGCGGCTGTACTCCAAGTGTGTATTCGCCCACTTGCCCAGGATTTGCAAGCAATCAATACTTGACCATCACACTCTATGATGATGTGAATTATTACTTTTAGAATCTGCATTGGAGCAATTTTAGACAGGAAAAGTGATCGAAACGTACAACGGATGTGGTCTGTGGGGATTGCGAAACGCCAGCTGTGCGACTTCGGCTGCCGCCGGAACGACAATCAATTATCCACTCTATCAAGTCAGCTCCTTTCCTAAAAAATATAAAATGAACTTTTTGTTTTATCTAACTGCCACTTTTAGGGCTCTCGATTTGCCTATCATGTCTGCCAAGCAGTCCCCAACACTGTTTGCTCTCTATCCTAATCGATTCGCGAGAAAACATCAGTCTTACATCATCATCTTTAGTTTACATAATAATAATAATAATAATAATAATTTATTATCATGTAAAACGAGACCAAATAAAAGTTCTGTTAATCTGGAAAGCTTTGTCAGCAAACCAATTTTGTCCTTCTCGGAACGTGTGAGTTGATAAAGTGACTATCATTGGTTTTTTAGATTGAAATCTAAATCAAATTTGAACTTTGTGAAAAACAAGCTACAAAATTGAAGGTTTTCGCATTGAATTAACACAAAAATTCTCAAAAAGGAGTCGCGGATGTGATAAGAAGAACCGATTCCAGCTTTCCATGTGTGGTGAAAAGAAGTGTGGCCGTATTTAGCCAGTCTGAATTAACAGTTTCCCTACTCTTTTCCCCTTTTACATAGATTTTCTTATATACACCAAATAGAGTGGCTAGACCGAGAATCACCGAGTAGCCGGTACGGGCCGGCTCGCTCGCCGTGTGACAGAGCTGGGACAGAGATCGTTTGAACGCATCTAGATTGGGATGAAGGTGCTGAAGCAACTTGAAAGTGTTAGAACCACTGTATCAAGTCAGCTCCATTCCTAAAACATATAGAATCAACTTTTTGTTTTATCTAATTGCAACTTTTAGGGCTCTCGATTTGCCTATCATGTCTGCCAAGCGGTCCCCAACACTGTTTGCTCTCTATCCTAGTCGATTCGCGAGAAAACATCAATCCTACATCATCATTTTTAGTTTGCATAATAATAATAATAATAATAATAACAATTTATTACCATGTAAAACGAGACCAAATAAAAGTTCTGTTAATCTGAAAAGCTTTGTCAGCAAACCAATTTTATTCAATTTGTTCCACCATTTGAATTTTCGGCAACATTTGGAAACATTTGGAGATGTTGACGAAAATTATTTCTTTCTGGAATCCACAGAAGTTCTCTTGTGATTCTCTTGTCCTTCCTCTAAAGATCGTTTGTGTGATAAAAAGAGACGGAACCCACTTTGTATTCCCTTTCTTTGGCTTTGAAACACTGAACCAACGATTGATTCTAATCCTTTCTATTCTATTCTATGCTATTCTATTCATTGCCTTTTCTCGCTAGATTAGTGATTCTGCTAGATTCGGAATAAACTAAATAGTACAGTACTGGACAATGAAATATCATATTTGAAAAACGATCGTCACCTTCGCGCGTCTGTAACTCCCTTGTCTTTGAGTTTAAACTATTAGTGTTATACATTTTCTGAAAGCTCTTTTCAAGGGCTACACAATGGTAATATTTATATTTAGAAATATGATAAAGACAACGGAGTTACAGGGGCGCGAAAGTGATGATCTTTTTTCAAATATGATATTTCATATTTGAGTAGTGTAGATAAGCCATAAAGTTACTGTAAAAGCAAAAGCTGTGTTGGATATCCATAAATCCACCGAAGAAATTGCGTAAGCTTACAGCTAAGCTAAGCAAAGCTAAGCAAAGCTAAGCAAAGCTAAGCAAAGCTAAGCAAAGCTAAGCAAAGCTAAGCAAAGCTAAGCAAAGCTAAGCAAAGCTAAGCAAAGCTAAGCAAAGCTACAAAGCTAAGCAAAGCTAAGCAAAGCTAAGCAAAGCTAAGCAAAGCTAAGCAAAGCTAAGCAAAGCTAAGCAAAGCTAAGCAAAGCTAAGCAAAGCTAAGCAAAGCTAAGCAAAGCTAAGCAAAGCTAAGCAAAGCTAAGCAAAGCTAAGCAAAGCTAAGCAAAGCTAAGCAAAGCTAAGCAAAGCTAAGCAAAGCTAAGCCTGGTGGCATATTGTGAAGATCATAAAGCAACGGTTAATAGATCAGTTTCATTTTGCAGAAAACTCTAGAAGCATTAATTTCAGAGAAAGTAATTAGCTAAAAGTATCAAACCTGGCTAATAAAATCAATAAAACGAATTTAAATAAAGATTTTTAGATTTTATATCGTCGATACAATATCAGCAGAAGAAAATGAATCCAATATCGAAAACAATGAAATGATCTTTCCTTGAGAATCAATTGAGTCTTTGTTGAACGATTGAACAATTTCCCCGGAAGGCTCACCCACACAAAGATCCTCACCTATTCACGTTTCAGACTCATGAAAAAGGAGATCAGAGCATTGAAATCCCTTTTCATCGCGTCTCTTTTCCACCTCATGAAGTCAATCTTAGGAAAGAAAGAAGGAGATGGATCTGGGTCAGTGAAAAGGGAATATCAAACGCCGTCTCCTTTCCTCTTCTTTTGATCTTTTGAATTAAGAATGAAAAATAGAAATTCCGTAATGGTGGCCATTCCGTAATGGTGGCCATTCCGTAATGGTGGCCATTCCGAATGGGCCACCGTAATGGTGGCCATTCCGAATGGTGGCCATTCCGAATGGGGCCATTCCGTAATGGTGGCCATTCCGAATGGTGGCCATTCCGAATGGTGGCCATTCCGTAATGGTGGCCATCCGTAATGGTGGCCATTCCGTAATGGTGGCCATTCCGTAATGGTGGCCATTCCGTAATGGTGGCCATTCCGTAATGGTGGCCATTCCGTAATGGTGGCCATTCCGTAATGGTGGCCATTCCGTAATGGTGGCCATTCCGTAATGGTGGCCATTCCGTAATGGTGGCCATTCCGTAATGGTGGCCATTCCGTAATGGTGGCCATTCCGTAAATGGTAATTGATTAAGATTAGATAATAAACAGAAAGAGAATTACGGTGGTTTTCACAATTTACACGTCTTAAAACATAGTTTCCGTTTGCGCCAAATCTTTTGGGCCTTTTCCGCAACTTGCCATAACTTTCTGGGCCAACCTTGCTGATTTTGGTGTCATTTTGTAGAACTCAATCTGAATTTCTGAACTTTTACGAGTCAGGATAGCTTCAAAACTTTTTTCAAAACACCAAACTCTAAACTCTTTGCTTCATTTGCTCAATTTCTTTCTTTTGACTGTCAATTCTTGTGACTCATATATAAAATATGCACAAATTTGGATTCTGAACGGTGGCGATAAGAGCTCCTCAGAAGTTTTTTTGGAAAAAATCCGTCAAATTGATAAACCTTTACGACTTGAAAGCATTTGATTCATAATCTCTTATTAGAATGAGTCATTTTGTGGCTTAAAATGACCCGATTCTTATCACTTTTAACAATTCCTTTCCTAGATATCTAAAGCTGTTTGCTCTAAAGCTTTTTGTGGCATTAAACGAAACCTTTTCCAAGTGTTTTTCAAGAGTTTCAGAATATTTATTTCAAATGCCCAATCAATTTTTGGTTACATTTTATAGAATTAACACGTTGCTCTAAATTAACACAGTTGTATCGTTGCTCTCTGATTGCTAGCCACAATAACAATGACCGAACAAGCACAGGTTGATTCTGGTTTGATCTCATTTGATTTAAAGTTATTCTTTGTGTTTGTAAATGCAAATGCATACCGTATTCTCTCTAATAGTAGTGCACCCTGAGCGTTGCCTAAATTGCTCGAAACCACAAAAACCGCTGATCAGAACCTATCGATGTGGGGTCGGAAAATGTAGCTGACGATGAGATCTTATGGGGGATTAGAGTGTTGATCTTCTGCAAAGGCTTGGAAAGCCGTAAAATAGTCACCAACTCGGCTCGCCGGGGTGCACTACTATTAGAGAAAATATGGTAATCGAATACCGTATTTCTTCGAATAGAAGACCGGGTAAAGAGTATCATCGCGTACTCCTGTGTAGCAGCCCTTTTTAAAATTTCTTTTCTGCATAAAAGCTTTCAATCAAGTGCTATAGGGCTGGAAAATGACTCAAAAATACCACATGAGCTAACAGATTTTTGAGCCATTTTCCTAGCTCTAGAGCACTTGATTGAAAGCTTTTATGCAGAAAAGAAATTTTAAAAAGGGCTGCTACGCAGGAGTACGCGATGATACTCTTTACCCGGTCTTCTATTCGAAGAAATACGGTAGATAGAGGAATCTCATACAAAGAGATGAACAGTTTCAAGTTCCCGAATCGGCCTCGGATCGCCGTATTTTCTCTAATAGTAATGCACCCTGATCGTCTAAATTACTCGAAATCTCGAAAGCGCTTATTAGAACCTATCGATGTGGGGTCGTAAAATGTAGCTAACGATGAGATCTTGTGGGGATTAGAGTGTTGAGCTCCTGCGAAAACTTAGAAACCGTAAAATAATCATCAACTCGGCTCGGACGATTAGGAGTATCCACAAACAAATCGTTTGTTCAATCGTTCAAACAAAATGACAAAAACGCTAAAACGATTAAGAGAAAGGGCAACAGATTGGTTGAAAATTCAATGCTTTCCTTTTATTACCATGCGATGTCCATTCCACGGTGAGTTGTCTATTTGTTTTCCTTTTTTTTTCCTTTCTTCGCCCATTTCCCTTATTTTATCCAAGAAACACCTCTCACATTTTTTTAGAAAAGCCCATATTTGGCACTCTCTTTGTAACACTTCACATTTCACATTTTGTCTCACTTATTTTTCCTTTTCAATCATAGGCTGTCTTGACATGAAGGACTATAGTGTTGAATACGCTAAATTAGAGTGAGTTATTCCAGATGCATGCCTGATTTTATATTTCCAAACATTTAGTCCAACTGATAAAAAACTTGTACAAGCAGAGATGATTCTTGTCGCTGTCACGTTCATTCTCTGTGCGGCTGCGTTTGCTGTTTCAATTGTCGTGCTTCTTAAATTCTCATAAACCTTTTTTGGATCATCTTTGTACTTCAATAACTAAAAGATCGATATTTTATCGATATCAAGTCTTTTTCGAGTGTTTCAGAATATTCATTTCAAATGCCCAATCAATTTTTGGTTACATTTTACAGAATTAACACATTTGAAGTTGTATCGTTGCTCTCTGATTGCTAGCCTCAATAACAATGACCGAGCAAGCACAGGTTGATTCTGGTTTGATCTCATTTGATTTAAAGTTATTCTTTGTGTTTGAAAATGTAAATGCATACCGTATTCTCTCTAGTAGTAGTGCACCCTGAGCGTTGCCTAAATTGCTCGAAACCACAAAAACCGCTGATCAAAACCTATCGATGTGGGGTCGTAAAATGTAGCTGACGATGAGATCTTGTGGGGGTTAAAGTGTTGAGCTCCTGCGAAAACTTAGAAACCGTAAAATAATCATCAACTCGGCTCGCCGGGGTGCACTACTATTAGAGAGCAAACGGTACCATCCTGCATATAGAATTCTTAGTTTACAGCCAACCTTAGAATTTTCTTTAAGGCCAAGTGCACTAGACGGGATGCGTTTCTATAATATTTCTGACTTTTAAATCTAAATTACAATCTTGTAGCGGCTAACGAAGCTATATCAGACGAAAAATTGTAATCTGTAACAGTGTATTCTTCTTCTTTATAGATCAAAAAGATGTTGCAACAAATCGGCGAGAAAGGGCTTCTTGTCACCAGTCGAGAAAACAAGATGATCGATGGGAGAATGCAGTTGGTCATCGAAAAATTCTTATATTTTACTGTGAACAGCCTCGTGACTCAGATAGTACAGAGTGCGGCGAAAGTTCTGTCCTTTTTAAATTCTCTCTGATTATTATTATTTCATAAGTGTTTATAGCCAAAAGAGAGCCAATTTTCCACAAATTTAAATCGTATTACCTTTTTTTAAATAGCTTCTTTAAATTTTGAGATATCACAATTTGCATGAGCTCACACCAGTTATTAGTCCTGTAAGTCATCTATTAGAGCGGCATTCCACTCTATTGTTCGGTGTCCATTTTTCGGATCCCCAAAAAATCACATAACGATCACATAATCTACTACATTGTTGAAGAAATGATTTTTGCTTAAATAAAGAATCTATTTAAAAGTCTAAAGAAGCTATTTAAAAGTCTAAAGAAGCTCTTTAAAAACTGTAATAAGATTTAAAGTCTGTAAGAGATTGGCTATTTTTTAGCTATAAACACTTATAAAATAAAATGAACGAGGAAGCTTTTAGAGAGAATTTTAAGAAGGACAAAACTTTCTCTGCAGCCTGTACAACCAGATAGCGTCACCGTATCCACAAACAATTTTAGCCACCTTGTTCGTTACCAAATCAAAGGCGATTCATACATTGCGCAAAGCACAAATGTTAGCCTAGATGAAGCAGTAAGTTTTAAAGATTTTCGAAAAAACTGTTTAAATCTGACAATTTTAGAAAACGGCAGCCAGAGCCGACTTTGCGAACTATGTCTACTTCTTCCGCAATGAATTTTCTGCGTTTGCACTGCGATCCCGATTGCCACCATGTCATGATGTAAAATCTAGTTTCCATACAGCATAGGGTTACAGAAAAAGTGATGTTTAGCCCGTTCTTCAATCGACAATCGATCATATTGGACAAGAGGATTACATGGCGAAATTTCACGGTGGATGGACAAGGGAAACGGCTAATAAGGTGAGTTTAGTGGAAAATAAGTTTGCAAAGTTGAATTTAATCTAAAGACAATAAAATGTTTCTTCAAACACTTAAATCGATTTGAATTTTATCCAAATTTTCAGCATTTCCATCAGCTATTGAAAGGAATTGGATTGAGCGCTGAGATGCAGCCCGAGATCAAATATTTTGGTGGTGAGAGCATTGTGTGAGTTTTTGAATACTTTACAAGAGTTGATATTAGACGATCAGAGTTTGAATCTAGTTCTTCTTTTCAGCTGACAATATTTTTGATTTTAGATCATATGCTTGCGAGGAGAAAGTTCATGTCAAACAGGGCAACAAAAGGAGAGGTACAAAGGTTAGGCTAATAAATTATCATAAAGTTTACAGGTATCATCGCTAAAGGATCGGGCGATTGCAAAGAAGCGTGCTTGATCGATTTCCGGGTAACTTGTTAAAAGTTGAATGCTAGGAGTTGAACAGAACTTATAATGTAGGATAGGATTATTCCAAATGGACCAGAGCCCGTCTGCTCTGGCTCTGGCTTGTCCAGAATTGAACTGGCCTGAGGCCGTATGCTCCGTTCCGGCGGAATTCACATAAGTCACATAAGTCTTTCTCTTTTTTGACTTTCGTCACATAAGTCTTCTTTGAATCAAAAGCGAAGATTTTTTACGAATGAGACATTCGACTTCTTGCACTAAAATTGGCATAAATCAGAGAAAATAATGGCGAATATTTGGAATGATTTGAAATGGTTAACTAAATAAAAATTTCATTTGAAAATGTCATACCCGTCAATCCAATACTTTGTATAAAAAGTACGTTCCGCGGGATTACCCTCTCAGCGAATTCGTGCGGGAATTCTCTGGGAACAGAGCATACGGTCTCAGTCCAGTTGAATTCTAAGCCAGATCAGAAGCCAGATCCTGTCCTAGCTTTGCTGCAAGCCTGATCCGCAAAAGATCTCTGCTTGCCTAGGCCTAGTCCACAAAAAGTCCCAGGATCCGGGACTGATTTACAGACCAGATTATAACACTTCTGCCGTATTAAATACAGGATTAGCAAACAAAGCAAGGTATCCATTTTCTACTAGTTTTTTTATCGTGTCAACTGTATCTTTTATTAATATTCTTTTTTACAGCTGAATCTCATCCGCCAATGCTATCCCTTTGGTTTTCTCAAGAGTTGTGAGGAACAACAGGAAGTGATGCAATCGAAGAGACAAGTAAACGTTTTAAGTTTTAAGCTTAAGCTTAAGCAATTGCACTTTTTAAGTAACATCGTTCCAGGAGTTCAAATTTGAAGTCATATCAACACCTGAAGCGATGAAATTGGCACAAAAAGTTGTAGCTGTTCGTGGAGAGGTGAGCAAAGTATTTAATCAACGCAAAGAAGAGCTTGATCTGGTTTTAATTTTGGTTTTCTTTCTAAACTAACACTAGTCCATTATATGAAAGCAAAAACATCCGGGAATTGTTACCTGGCAATTTTATATGCAAAATTCAATTAGGTTGGCAAGAAAGCTCGTAGAAAAAGTTCATTTCTCAAAAACCAAGCAATGAATTTTGGGTGCTCAAAAAGGGTCAAAAAAGGGAAAAACGGCAAAAATAGCCAAAAATCGTCGTTTTTGAGCACTTTGAAAGGCCCGAAAACCCTTAAATTTCAACGAATTTCCACAAACTAAAAGCTTATTCCCACTAAATCGAATACGGAGAATCTTTTTGCTGAACATTATCATGCTCTAAAACGCCTCAGGAAAAAGTTGTAAAACTATACTTTTATTTTCATGCATTTTTAAGTGCCTCAAAGTTTTTTCAGAAAACTCGAAAACTGTTTAATAGATGTATATTGAACTATATTTTACTTTACTTTTGAAAGTAAGTTAAAATAATGCACGAGAGAGAAGACACGAAATAATTCCCTCGGTGCTATTTAATTTTCCGCCACTGTAGGTGCCTAGCTGGCCATTTCCATACGTGGCAATCTCGATCACGAGATCGTCACGACAGTGACTTGGTCACTTTTTGAGTGACCAGGCTTTAGACAAGTTTTGAAATGGTTAATGAATAAGCAATGGGTCCCATTTAAAACCCAAAATCAAGTACTTAAAATAGGAAAAACTTGTGATTAAGGCAAATGTCATCTAATGCTTTAACTTTTCAGCATGACCGATTTTAGCAAACACTCAGTGCCAAGAAGATGACACGAAAAACTTATTTTTTAAAATACAGCTCCTCTGTCAAGAATTTTTGGCCAAGAATAGAGATTATAGAGTGTAAAATAGAGATTCATTTATGCTGGCTTTACCTTATAGAAAATCGTTTTTCTGGTGCAAAAAGTGAGCTGAATTTAAGCTGGAAAATAATACTTTTTCAAAAATCCCTAAAATTTAACGGGAAAGCTGCACTCATTTCTTTACGAGTAATTTCTTTGAGTTGACTTGTAAATAATAGAAGAAAATGTTCTTGAATTGGTGGATTTGTTTTTAAGAAATTTCAGTCAAACTTTTTCCGAGAACTTTCTTTCGAACCTAATATTTACCGATTTACTCATCTAGCAATTTTGCTAAATGGATTTAGCAGTTTAGCAGTTTAGCATTTAGAAACTTTGCTATTTGCTAAATGCTGATAAATACCAAAACAATTTTGCTTAATTTAAAAAAATTGAATTTTGTTTCTTGTAAACTGAATATTCTGCTGCGAATCTGTGATTAGTTTTTTGATATCTTTGTTCAAAGCAGAGCTATAAGTGTTTTTCGGAGCTGGCGGCACTGCTTAACATTCTCGAAGGTGTTTAGCAAAACTCGAGGCTCACCAAGAAAGTTTGGTGAACCCAAAAACTCCGCTGAATTTAGCAGCTGGTAGACTCGGTTATTTATAAATGATAGAAGAAAATGTTCTTGAATTGGTGAATTCCTCTTTAAGAAATTCCAGTCAAACTTTTTCTGAGAACTCTCTTTCCAACCTAATAGGACTCTCCACTTGCGTCTCTCTCATCAACTCCCAGCCGAACTATCGATGAAATTTCTAAATCGATCACTTGGGAACCACCTTTTCCACCACCAGTAAGAATTTAATTCGTTTTTCTAGTTGAAATGCAAAAACAACAATCGAACTCAAGACTCACTTTTAGGACGCAAATCAGAAATTGACGCAAAAACACATGAAATCGCTTCAAAAGAGGATTGCAATTGAAAAAAAACTGAAGAAGGAGCAACTGACAGACGAAGAGATGGCTCAGCAGAGGATCTGGAAACGACGAGAAAGCTTACCAATTCATAAAAAGAAGAAGGAGGTGCAAATTTGTTTGGTTCAATGTACAGTTCAAAAATTTAGATAATTGACCTCATCGCCAAGAACCAAGTTGTGGTGGTACAGGGAAGCACTGGGTGTGGAAAATCGACACAGGTCTTACTCTTTGCCACTCTAGATCTAACTTAAATTTGGATATTTTCAATTTAATTTCTGACATCATGGTATGATTTGTAGATTCCCCAATTCCTCCTGGAGAATCATCTCGCACGGGAACAAGGTGCCAGCTTTGTTGCCTTCATCACTCAACCAAGGAGGTTGTGCACTATAATGTGTTTGCTGTTGTGTTGTGTTAACGAGTTGTTTGCTATAATGTATTTGGTTTAGTCTACAGTACTGGACAATGAAATATCATATTTGAAAAAACGATCGTCACTTTCGCGCGTCTGTAACTCTCTTGTCTTTGAGTTTAAACTATTAGTGTTATGCATTTTCTGAAAGCTCTTTTCAAGGGCTACACAATGGTAATATTTATATTTAGAAATATGGTAAAGACAACGGAGTTACAGGGGCGCGAAAGTGATGATCTTTTTTCAAATATGATATTTCATTGTCCAGTAGTCTATCTATAATGTGTCAACTTCCCATAAACTATCGTAATATTGTCTTTGTTTTTATCCAGTATTTTCGGTATTCTCGAATAGACTAATACTTGGAATAAACAAAAATAAAGTTAAGAGTACGGTGGAAAGTTGACACGTCTTAGAAAACCCTTTAATTATACAAAATTTCATTGCAAGTACCATATTGCAAGCATTTAGAATCTGTGCCAAGTCATTGGCAAAACGAGTTGCTCAAGAACGAGGAGAAACTCTGGATCGAAAGGAAAAGATCGCCAACAGATCGGTTGGATTTGCGATGAGGTGAATAAACAAATGAAATCGAAATGGTTCTTGCATTTACTTTTCAGATTTGACAACAACTCACCCCGTGGTTATGGATCGATTTGCTATGTGACGGCCGGATATCTCTTGCGGAAAATGCAGTCGGGACTCCATGGAGTCAGCCATTTGTTCATTGATGAGGCACATGAGATGGATAAAGATGTAAGGGGCAAATAGTTGAAAATTGTTTAAATGTTGATCAAATGCTTAAACGAATTCAATCTCTTAATAATTCATTCCAATCCAATTTCTGTTTCAGATCGAAATCCTTCTGACTCTTGCAAAAGATTTGGCGCAAAAGTTTCGAGATTTGAAGATTATTATCATGAGTGCTACCATCAATGTCGCTTCTCTTCAGGTTAAAATTCTTTGAAAATACCCTCAAAGCCATCAAATTGAAAATGATAACAGTGTTCCACAGGTTTTTTTCTCTAAAGTAAGCTTTTAGGAGTACTTCCCGAATTGTGGATTCTTTCAGCTTCAGGGAAAAACGGCGTACCCAGTGGAAGGTTTGCTTAAACAATTTTCAAATTCAGTAAGCATTAAAAATTTCAGATTTCTATCTGAGTGATGTGAAACGAATTCTTGAAGCTGCCGAAAATGAGAACAGTGATCCACAGGTTTCTTTCTTTTTTTAAAGCTGATAAGCTGAGACAAAACTAAGTCCAATTCAATGTTTAGAAAGAGCATTCTCCTAGCAACGATTCTCAATTAGAAGCAAAATTCGATACTCTACCTGAACTGAATGAAGACATGGTAAGCTTTTGTTGGACTGAATGCACTAAATACTTTTTAGGCGGCTCTCAGTTTGGAGCACAAAATCGATGAGAGGTTGCCGTTTGATTTGATCCAGGTAAAAGAATTCACAAACATCATGACACTCATCTATTCCATTGTCAGCTCTTTGCACTCTGTATGTCGAGTTTAGGTTGAATATATATAGGTGATCACAGATCTTTTCCTTCCACGGCCCAATCGATCCCTGTTGTTTCCCAATGCTTTAAACTATGCAATTATTTGATAGACGGTAGCTCGACTTGCTCCTCGGCGATTCTGGATTGAACGCGCCGAGACACCCCACTGATGAAGATCGATGATCGATTGACGGTGGATCGAACGCTTCACCATCCCAACAAATCGATTACCTGAAACAGAAAAAACATTATTTCAGATTTGTAAATGATAAAAACAAAGAAAAACTGGGAGTAAACAAACAAAATCGAAAGAAATATCTACTTATTTTAGTCGCTCGCTAGTATGAGTAATTTTGACGCACCCTGTACCCCGATATATAAATGTAACTTGACATTCCTTGAAATTCATTACTTGAAAGTGTTAGTTAACATTGTATTGCATGGTTTATTTATGGATTTATCTATGAACTTTGATTCTAAATATCATACCGGCAACTTGACGGTAAACCAAAGAACAAGTGGATTCAGGGATTGAAAATATGATCAGACTTACGATTACTTAAAATCTATGAAATTTGTACATAGAACTTTTAGCAACTCATCGAATACATTGACGGAAACGAGGGTGAAGGTGCGATTCTCGTTTTCTTACCTGGCTGGGGAGAGATCAAACGCCTTTTCACATTGCTCAGCGATTCCAGTGCTCTTGATCGTAAGCTCTATCAGCAAAATTTCAATCAAGTCCAATTTTTAGAAGAAGCCATCAAATTGTTGTGTCTTCACTCAAAACTTCCAAAATGGCAACAGAAATTGGTCTTTGCAAAAGGCAAGGGAAAGCGAAAGGTAAAGAAACAAGTATCACAGGTGCCATGCTTTAAATCAAATTAGATTATTCTTTCTACAAACCTTGCTGAAAGCAGTGTCACGATTGAGGATGTCGTTTTTGTGATCGACTCTGGATTGTAAGTCGAACAGATTTGTTTGAAATGTTGAGCTTTGGGTAAAATAAAAACAAGAAGTTCTTTTATGATGTGCAAATTTTGTTCATCAATTCCAAGTCCTAGATTTTTTTTTGCAAAAAGCTGAACCAGTCATAGGATGTGTTTCTTTTTGATTATTACAATCCGAACAGTTTTCTTTGATTATTACAAGCAGTTCCGAAGACTTAACATAGGTTAGCCCTTTTAGTCTTGAAGAATACAGTCATTACAATTCAGGGCTCGAGTGGCTCGCTTCTCTCCCGAAACGAACACCAACTACTTTTGTACGATCAACGCCTCACGAGCAAATTGCTTGCAAAGGTAGTAAAATTTTAATCTCATAAGGATATTAGGTCTTTAACTTGAATTAAAATCTGTCACACCAAATTTTATTTTAGAAAAGGCCGTGCTGGGCGTTGTCAAAAAGGAAAGTACTACTTAATGGTCCCGAAGGAGAAATATGACAGGTACAATATGACTTTAGAGACTTAAGATACCGTAAAAGCTGTAATAGTAGCCCCGGGGTCATTATTTTTTCGATAGTACTTTTTGCCATTCACATGACCAAAACTGGAAAATATAAGATAATTAAAGAAACAGTTTTAATCAATTTAAAAATCAATTTATTTACGAAAACAAGTAAAATCTAACAAAAATTAAGAAATAAAAAACCAGAAATTTAAAAATCTAGATCAATTGATATATCAGTTCTAAATTCTTCCTCACATATTTCTGCTTCTTAACGAAAATTGAGAGGATTTGCTGAAGTAAGTGGATCCAGAAGCCCATCACCTTCTTTTTCGAAACTTGCATCCCTGAGTCACTATAATCCTGTAGGAATCGGGCCATCGGGCTTAAAACAGTGAATTAGCTGATTGTCGGCACCACTTGGATCGTTTCTAACAACACAGCTTTTGAAGGATCGAGATGCAAATTTGAGAAACTATTATTAGAGGGGGGTCACTATTTTTTTTGTTGGGGGTTACTATTACAGCTTTTACGGTAACGGTAACTGTCCTTTTTCTAGTTACCACGAATTCAACGAGTCATCTCTGCTGAATACAACTCTCTACAATGTCTACTTGACAATCAAGGTATACAAAAAACATCAGAGAAAACCATATTTTACAATTTCAGGCACTGAAACTCGGAGATGTGGAAGATTTTCTGGGAAGAGCCCCTTATCCGCCATCAAGCTTGCGAATCGTAGAAGCAAGGTGTAAGCTACAAGGTAAAAACCATGAACTATGAATTTGGCTTTAAACCAAAAATTTTTAGGAGAACTGCAAGCAAGGTAAGACAAGCTCAGGTCATGACTAAAATCCAGACCTGGTTTTTAGCTAATCTAGGCTTCTGGCTTAGCTAGCCTGGTCTAGCTTAGCCTTTCCTGGCCTTTTCTGAACTGTTCCCCTTGATACATCCATAGTTACAGCTCTTTTATGTTAACAGAGAAGTTAAAATGCATAGAACTATTAAATAAAACTGTAACTATAGCTATATTAAAGCTGAGAGCTGTGATCAAGACACAATCTTTTTAATTCATTGCCAAGTTTTGATTTTGGTTATGTTTAGCTAGACCTCGATTTCAAGCCGCCTCTGAAGCTTCAGTAATCTACCAATTTCCAGAAATCGGAGCTCTCGATGTGCACGATCGGTTGACGGCTCTTGGCCGGGTTCTGGCTGAAATTCCACTCGAAGTCGATCTTGGATCAGCTCTCATTCTCAGCCGCTTATTTGGGTTGTTTAACATAATCCTATTTTCATAGTAGCCTCTTTAGTGTTCACGATCATGTTATCGAGCTCATTTGCAACACTCAAAATGCTCCATGGAATTTAATGATTTCCAAGAAAACAATCAACAAAATCAAGGAGCTGAAAAAGTTTGCTAGCTGAGAAAGCTGAAAAAAATTTGTTTCAGCAGCTACAAAAATAAGATCCCAACGCCATCGGATCACGAAGTGATGAAATTAGTGGCTGAGAAATTTGCGGTTGATTTTTGTTGTACTTGGACAATAATTACTGACTTTTGCATTACATTATAACATTGCAAGACAGTAATATATGCTAGTAATATTATGAGATTGCCAATTTTCAGCTACTTAACGGAGAGGAACAGAAAGCTTTTCTGGAGACGTATTCTTTAGATGGTGGTGCGATGCGGGAAGCAAGGTAAGTGTTGGGGAAAGAAGTGAATACTGTTGTATATCTCAAACCTAACTCTGCTACCGTAAATACGGTAATAGTACCCCACCTCTCGCGTACAGCCGCGTAGTCGCAAAAGTTTTTTTAGTATTTCATTTTTTCAAAGCACTCGTAATTTCAAAAAATGCGTCTTTGAAATTAAAAAATAACCCTGAATTTCAGCTATGTTTTGATCCCTAAGCGCGCATTGTAGCATAAACCAGTGTTGAGAAAAATGTGTTCGCAGTTAGACTACGCAACACTTCTCACCGTCATTATGTGAGTGGGGTAGTATTACAGTATTGACGGTAATTCTTTGTTCTATTGGAGCATTGTTATTGATGTTTTTGATTAAGGTTTATTTGGTTGATCTATGCAATTGCAATTCAATGCTTTTCATATCAAATTCGCTAATAGTCAGAGCTTTTGTGCTCAAGCTTAAGGACAATTTAACCATTTTTAAGGCGATCGAACTTGCAACTACTTCAAATCTTAGAGCGTCACTTCGGCAAGAATCCCGAGAAGAAAAAGAAGGAAGTACGGTATTTTTAAAGATTTTAGAAATTATTCTTTGGTCTCTTTGGTCGCTTTGGCCTTTTCATAAAGCTGGCAAATCTGAATCGTTTCAAAATACTTTTCGGAGTTGACAAGTCTAGGAAAGTTGTAAACGAAATTACGATTTACAACTGTAGATTTTCGTAGGAGTCATCCAGTACCTTTCTACAACGATTTAACTTTTTACTTGGGATAAAATTTTAGATTGCGAGACATTTGATACCCCTTTGCCATTGCCAACCAAACTTTGAGCTCAAATATCTTTGTGTTGAGCTGTCCAATTTAAATAGTCTTGATACCAATCGGCAGAGAAAGACTTGGTGCATCCAAGGATATCAAGAATATATGAATTGAACAGCTCAACACAAAGACATTTGAGCTCAAAGTTGAATTAGCAATGGCAAAGGGGGCAAGGCGCGTATCAAATGCCCACTAGCCAAAATTTTATACAATATTCAGGAGAATCCTTCGCTGTCCCTGGGCATCCTCTCTCGAGCTTTTTACCCGAATACCGGAGTCATTGATAAAGAATCGGTACATTTCTCACAAATTTTAAAAATCAGTCGTTTAGATTTCTAAAATTCTGAATTAAAATATATATCTAGATAGAAATTGGGACGATTTTTTTCAGAAAACGATCATAACAATCGCTCAAGACTGTCCCGAGATCAACTCGATTTCTGTCGCTCACATGAACAATCAAGCAGCGAATCGAATTTGCTTTTTCAACGAAAAGGTAAAAGCTTAAAACAAATGAAATGCAACTCTTTCAGACCCAAAGCAATAAAAAAGTTCACTGCCAAGAAATCTCGACAATTTCACCGGTTCAATTGATTCTCTTTGCGGCTGGGCTTGTGAAGAAAAGTGAAAATGGAGAAGTTTTGATTGGAGACACGTAAGTTTATTGATTAAATCCAAGTAACGGACGTTTAAAACTTAAATCCTTAATGTAAAAAGTTAATCTTCGAATGTCGTTCATTCAAATGCAGTTTTTTTTGATTGGAGATGATTAAAGCGATTGGTGAAAAGACTTTTATTCTGAATTTAAGTACTGCGGAGAACTGGATTAATAGACTTGACAAATTGAGATTTTTGAATTGAAATGAAAGTGAATGAAAACATCGAACAGTCCTAAGCTTTCTAAATTTAACAAAAAGCTTACAAATTCTCAACAATTTCCACTAAATTCATTCAATTTTCGTTTATTTTGCTTGGAGATGATCAAATTGCTTTCAGAATTCGAATCAAATTGGACCCAACACTAGCCGACGCTTTGCTTCAGCTCCGCAATTGGATCAAGGTTGTATAATTACAATAAAAGAGTTTAAATATCAATTTCAGAATCATCTCATTAATTTGTCAGCAATTCCTGAAGAAACCACACTTATCTTTGACCATTTTCTGAAGCTAGACTATAAGAAATGTTAAAGAAATTATAAAATTACCTTTGTCTTTGTCGAATTAATATTTCTTATGTACTTATGTCAATCTTTTCATTTATCTATCTAATTCCAACAATGTGATTTTTCTATTTTCCCAAAAACACACTCTTGTCTAATAGTTGCAAGTTGTTATAAGAATTTTTGCCTACTTTGGTGATAGAACAGGATTTTTTCCGCTAAATAAATCAATTGAAAGTATTTCAAATGATTTTGAGTGATCTCAAGTTATACTTGGCCTGTAAAAAGTTTAATTTAATTTAATTCTTCCAGCCAGCAAAATTCGATGTGACTAATGTTTAGGTTGGCGTTTTTCGAGGTGATAAATTAAAGGAAATGATGATCAGACGAAAAGATTTGTGCATTTTCCTACAAAATTTCTAACAAAACACAATGCCCGCGAAATGGCTCCCGAGAAAATCACAATCAAATCAAACGTAATCAAATCAATCGCAATCAAACCTTATAGCCCTTAAGCCAAATACGCACTATAAACATACGTTTGCTAAAGATCTGACAAGGTACATCGAACCGGATTACAAGAAGAAAATGGAGGTGGCGATCAAAAGTTTTTGAGAAAGAAGAGAATTTTTGGCCATTTCACCAGTGAAATAAAAAATGACTTTAGGGAAATTTGTATTTTTCAATCAAAGCAAAAATGTTCGCAGCGGGCAGGATTCGAACCTACGCGGGCAGAGCCCAATTGATTTCTAGTCAATCTCCTTAACCACTCGGACACCGCTGTTCCGGTCCGAAAAGAACCTCCATAAAAAGCCTTAGGATTGGCAGGTGTCACTTGTCAAATTTTCATTCTTTATCAGGGAGTTTTGGTCAATTTTACGTTTTTCATCATATTTGCATTCAAAGTTAAACAAAAAAACAGAAATGCAAGTAAAGTTAGTAAGTAAAAGTATTAAAGTCAAATTCAATTTTTACCGAAAAGGAATAAACTGCAGTTTTTTTCTTTTCAATAACTTGAATGCACCTTTATTATGGCTCATCTTAAAGCCTTGATCAAATAAAATATTGCGTATCTATTTAAAAGTTTAATTACTGAGTGAAAAGGAAAATTTTTAAAAGCCATGATAAGTTTATTGAATGGGAACACCGTGATGAGGTCCCTCCGCATGGGGGCTCGTGTCTTGATCCAACGAGAAATCGGAATGTCCGGTCTCGACCTCGTCCTGCGAAGCTTCACCCATGATATTGTAGCGTTTGTAAGCTGTCGATTTGCCGGTTTTCAGATTTCGGATCACATAACGAGGCTCGTCTTCACTCGCATGAATTGTGACTTCGCCTGGAATTTGGTGGAGTTTTAGAAGCACTCGTGATTCATAAAAACGAACTCCAAACCCATTTCCGAATCGAACCAAGCCATTTCCTATTTGAAAGAGCAGTGTAACCAGCATTATCTTTAAAATGTCAGTAACGTAAGCAAGATTTGTCTTCAAGTGTCTTTAAGGTTTAATCGAGACTTCGGTTTGTCTAGCACGTTCTAATCTATTTTTTCTTTTGATTTTAGATATTCCGGATTCAAATCAAATTTCTCCCTCAAATTACCACTCAGATCTTGGTCTAAAAGAGCTTTTTTCTAGAAGGCTCAGCTTTTTTACCTGTTCTTGAAGTTGCACTCTGCACGGGCGTCTCCCCAGTCAACACCTCCTCAATTGTTCCAACGGCTGAACGAGGGGTTTTGTCTATCGGAATATAGACCACATTTTCTCCCTCTTCATAATCCTCGTTCGTTTCTTTCTTCGAGAGTTTGAAGGGCATTTTGAACTAAAAATGGAATAAAATATATAAAATGTCAATTATTTTGAACAGCTTCTAGAAATGTGTTCAAAAATGATTGATAAAAATATAAAATCAAAAGGATTGCGTTGAAAAAGCTGTAAAAAAATGTCTTGAAATGGTGTCTTATATAAAGCCAAGTTGTTTTTGAGAATGAGTTGTTTCAGTATGTCAAACAGCATGCCAAACGCCAATGACTTTGTGTGAATTTTGACTAAATAACTGTAAAACCTATTACATATATTTGGATAGTCGCATAAATTTGATTTTCTGACCTTTAGGCTAAAGCTGGGTTATAGCTAGGCTTTTCTACAGGGTGCGCTAGAATTACGGCTACACCTTTTCAGCAGATTGCATGCCAAACGCCACAATCAATTCAAAAACCCTAAATGTTATAAAGAGAATTGAAGCCTGAATTCTTGCCTACATTTCTGTACTAAAAGATCTTTGATTGGAGTTTTGCAGCCGATTTTGCAGACCCTCAAATGAGTAGAGTGCGTTCCTCGCGAGTTTACTCAAGTAAAATCTGCATCAGTAGTTTTTACTCGATTAATCGACGCTTTTGTTCGAGCAACTACGAGCAATCCTCTTTAGACATCGAGTAAACTGAATATCTTTACATTTAAAGGGAATTTGCCACCAAATCAGTTAAACGGTTGAATATAAAGGGAATCCCACGAGCTCGAAGTTCAGAATCGTTTCGTGACCAAGTACATCTTATACAGAGTGGGCCAGAATTACGGCTTCACCTTTTTTACGCAGAATTACGGCAGATTGCATGCTAAACACCGCAATCAATTCAAAAACCCTAACTGTTATATAGAGAATTGAAGCCTGGATTCTTGCCTACATTTCTGTATTAAAAGATCTTTAAACTGTCAATTATTTTCAACAGCTTCTAGAAATGTGTTCAAAAATGATTGATGAAAATATAAAATCAATAGGATTGCCTTGAAAAAGCTGTAAAAAGATGTCTTGAAATGATGCCTTATATAAAAGCAAGTTGTTTTTGAAAATCAGGACTGAAAAAATTTGAATACAGATTTTGCAATGAGTGCATTGAATTCTTGTTTACCGGATAAGAGACTGAGGAAAAAGAAGAGAAAAACAAGAAAAGCACGCACTTTTTGCGTTTGTTTACGGCGTTGGACTTCTCTGAAAAGGACGAATTCAGTAAAAAGAAATGTTACGAAAGAGAAAAAACCCTACGAAAGAGAAAAAAAGCTGAAATTGAAAACGATAGATTAGTTTAATCTAATCATCTGAATGCAAAAACCTAAAGAACATCTAAAGAATGAATACCGAAATCTTTAGAATACTCATACTCTATAATACTAATAATATTCTTCTAGTTTTCAAGAAATACTTGTACTTTGCAGAGTTTTACGACTCAAATAGCTGATTTAGTTGTGTTTTTTCTTTAAAAATACTTGAATATGGCAAATTTGGTAGATGAAAAGGTAAATGCGATGTATATTCCTGCCTCTTGCATCACAAAGTATTCTTTAATTGCTTAATCTTAAAGCTTAAGCTTAATCTTAAAGCTTAATGCTTAATCTTAAAGCTTAAGCTTAATCTTAAAGCTTAATGCTTAATCTTAAAGCTTAATGCTTAATCAATTGATCAAAAGCTTTCTATTCGTAGCAAATTTTAAAAGTATTAACATAAATATGTCGTTATCTAATATGTAAATTTGTTTTGATATCAATTCTTCTTTATTTTAGTATTTCTAGCATCAAGTTTGGCTTAGCTATTTTGCGCCCTTATCAACCTTTCCACTGCCTTTTTTTGCATGACTCACCACTTCCAACTCACTCAAAAACAGCTGTCCAAAAAGGGCTGGGTTTAGATTAATTTCTATATTTTCTTAAATTCTCTTTTATTTAATGTTTCCAATGAACTTCTCCTCATTCCCTCAAGAACTTAGAAATCAAATTCTTTCTCATTCCGGTATTGCAGAGAACCTAAAGTTGCTCAAAGTCTGCAAAACTTTACGCTATTTCTTTCTTCACAATGGCCCATTTCCAAAAGAAATTGATTCAATCAAGTTCGAGATTTTGACGAACTACGAAGAAGTTGCGGAAAAGACGAATGATCGATTTTTCTTGCAATCTCAAAGTCTAACTTTACCAACTCGTCGCCCTTCTCTCCACCACTGGCAAAACATTAACTCTTTACCCTATTTTGGAGAGATTTTCGAGAAAATCCGGCCACCACAATTGAAGCCAAATTCAAGGATTTACACAGTTGAGAGGTTTTCTTATAACATTGAAATCACTAAAAGATCTTCGACTTTGAGGATTCAAGACAAGAAAATCAGGATTGGATCTCTTTACTTTCCCATCAATTTCAAAGTCTCTTCACTATTAGATCTTATTATTTCTTGCAAGAATTTATCTATTAATGGTGACAATAATCTAGCTTTGCTTCCAGCTGAAGAATGGATATTCGATCAACACTTTCAGAGCCGAAAACTTTTTGCTAAACTTAACGAGGTGAAAGAGCTGAGTGTGAATTTGAGATCATTCAATGTCATGATTTTGGATAAACTAAAAATATCCATTGCTGAAAAATCTCGTTTTTCTTTAATCCTTATTCAAAACGATACAAGGTATCTAGAAAAAGTGATTCGAATCTTAAAAAGTGGATATTTCAATTACTGTAACCGCTTCGAGTTGCACGATTGCGAGCACTTTTTAGATCTCTTGCCAGAGCTCTTTTCACCATTAAAGCCTCAATTTCTCTGGAATCACTTTAGCTCAATGATGAGTTTTTCCAAGGTTTTTCGAGAATTGCTAAAAACCAGGAGATTAAGTGAAAACCCATTTGTAACCGTTTGTATTTCATTGAGTTTACCAACAAGATCATTTCCCTCAGAATTTCTGAGCCTAATCAAAGCTCATCAAACAGAGGAAGTGATTAAATCAAAAGAAATAGAAAAGCTTTGGAATTTGTTTAGAGACTTTTGCGAGATTGGAGAATTCAGTGAAAATCGAGAACTATCCATTGAAAAAGAGACTCTTCAAAATGGCTTAATCAGAAGATTTTTTAAACAACATATTTATGGAGCTGATGAAAGAGTGATTGGCTTGATTTGTGTCAATAAACTCTATCCGAATGATAGAGACTCACATACTCTGTACCTCTTCATGAAAAATCAACCTGTTTCTTAATAAATTGTTTATTGATTTCAAC